AGAGAGAGAGAGAGAGAGAATCTTCTTGGGTTTTTCAATTGAATGAAAACACATTATAACAGAAACCCCCTTTTCAGAAAGAGAGAAAGAGAGTTTCCCTCTTTTCAGAGAGAGAAAACCAGGTATGAAGAGGAATGAGACCTAACAGAAAAGGAAGGGATGTGGCATGGATTTGACAAAAACTGTGAAAAATAATTGATCATTCGTCTTCTTCGTCATCTGCTTCTCTGAAATTGAGCTGCTAAAAGAAGCAGGGACGAATAAAATGTGATTAAACCCATCTTAATTTGGAGATTTATACAAAATTAACAGCTTAAAAGTGTACCAACACATATGGTCACTCTCATTCTTAATAGCTTTTATATGGTGGCCAAATCAAGTTATGGGATGGCAGAACCAAATTAGTGGGTGGATAATTAAACAAAATAAAAAAAGTTTAGATTTAAGGTGGACCTAAAAAATCTATGATAAAAGGTTGTTCACGTTGGAAAGCTCTCTAATTGATCATCTTGATATTTATATGTATGAATATAAAAAAAATAAAAAATCAATATTTGGTATCTTGCAATAAATTATTTGAATTATTTATTTTTAAGATTTTTTACGTTTTTATAGATCTACTTGATTTGAACTATTTTTAGATTTAAAAATTATATAATTAAAGATGAAAAAATATTCTCAAGTCATTCTAAAAAAAAGTGTAGTTGGCATATGGATGCATCTGTAGCTGTATAGGTAAGGTGCACCTTTAAATTTGATCATAGTATATAATTTTGATGTCAAATGTTCTTAGGATTATCTCAAAATCTATTTTTATATCTAATTATAAAATTTTAAATTTTAAAAATGGTTAAAATCAAGTCGTTCTATAAACATATGAAAATCTTGAAAACGGACGGTGTAGATAATATGTTGTAAAATGCATCGTTTTTTAAATTTTAAATCTTTTTATTTTTCATGGTCATACATCTTGATGTCGAGATGATCAATCAAATGATTTTTCAACAAATAAACTATATTTTTCGATAGATTGTTTAGGTGCATCCATAGTTCTACATTATAAGATTGCATCTTTATATAAATTTTTTCTTTCTAAAAAAGCTTGTTACCAAAATTACATTTATAATAAATTTTTGAGGTGAGATAATTGTTTAAGGTTGCAACCTTATGTAAAAACTGCACCCAATAAAACTTATGAGTTAGAGGCTTTTGTTTGTAACTTTTGTTATTGGGTGAGGTTTGTATGAGGTGTCAATTTTATACTATTGAAGTAAGGTGCACCTCAAAACCACGTTGAAAATGCAGTTTCGGGGTCCTGCACAAAATTAGAGCTTTTGATTGTCCAGGACCCGATATTTATGTGAGTGATGTTTGTTGATGGTGTCCACCTTGTACTATTAAAGCAAGGTGCATCTCAAAATGATGCCGAAAAATATATACGGTTTTGGTATTGGAAAGACTTTACAATGACATATAAATCTATTGTCATACAATGACATATAAATCTATTGTCATATATAATTATGAAATTTAAAGTTCAAAAAATGATGTTAATCGAGCATATCTATAAATAATTCAAAAATTTGAAAATAAATAGTTCATATAATATGTTACAAAATACATTTTTTTCGTAACTTCAAATATTTAAATTTTATATCAAAGCATTTCAAGGTTGAGATCATCAATTTGAATTTTTTTTCAGTACGCGAATAATATTTTCCAATTGGGTTTTTAAGGTTAAAACAATATTTTTTGATTGATTTTTTAAGGTGTGATGTAATTCAATAAAATAAAGCTAACATCTTTTATAAATCTTTTATTTTATACAATAAAAAAAGTTTATACAAGGTGTCACCTTTATGCTACGGTAAGGTGCAATTCATAAATATGCGGAAAAAAAAAGTTGTTTTGATTAAGGAAACTATTCAAATTTAGCATATTGACTTCAATATATATATATATATAAAGCTTTAAATGTTGAATGTTTTTTTAGACCGTTTAATTCTAAGATTTTTAAATATTTAAAGATATGCTCGATGCACAATTTTTAAAGCTCTAATTTTCACAATTAGTATAAAAAAGTAGATTTTAACAATATTTTCAGCACCAAAAATTTGACTTACGGAACAACTTAGAGGAAGGAGTGCCTCTTTATACAAACGCCACCCTTTATATCCAATATATAGGGGAATTATTATACAAGGGTGAGTCCTGGACAATCAAATTAAGGCACGCCTTAAAAATTCACTGCAAGAGGTTGTTATGATGCTCAAAAATCTCAAATGGATAATTTCGACCTCAAGATGTATAGATATAAAAAAAAATGACTTAAAATCTTAGAAATAGTGCATCATATTAGCATTTGTTTGAAGGTCAATTTTCAAGATTTTTCGGTGTTAATAGATATATTACATATACACTATTTTCAAGCTTTAACTTTTGTAATTACATATAAAAATAAATTGTCAGGCTATCACAAAGATTTATCGCACTAATATGATATTTTTGGATATTATTTGAAGGTGTGCCTTACTTTATTTGTTTAGAGCCTCACCCTTATGCAAACCCCACTCATTTATAAGGGATGCCGTTTGTATAGAGCCAGGCTCAAAACAATCAAATTGGAACCCACCTTTAAATAGTATTGAGAAATGTAGTTCCAATATTGAAAATCTTTGTGATAGCTTTAAAAGATATTTTGATATTTAATTATAAAATTCAAAGCTTTAAAAATAATGTAGATCGAGTAGATCTATAAAAACTTGAAAATTAATCATAAAAAAATACGTTACAAAATACACTATTTCAAAAAATTCAAATCCATTTTTTTCTCATGTTCATACATGTTGACATCGAGGTGATAAATTTGAAGATATTTGAAATTTTTGAGATAAATTCTAATTTTATAGTTTAAAACCTCGGCTCTAAATAAACTTTTCCCTATATATATATTTTAGGTAATTCGACCCACCTTAGTGGCTTTGAGGTGCGCGACGATCTTAATGATGTTAATAGTTCACGTAGAGAGTCCCTTCCACTGCCAATCTCTAGGGCGTGTTTGATAACGTTTTCCTGGAAGTTGGAACTTATTACTACTCTTCATGTTTCGTGTTTGATAAAAAAAATGAGAGTTTAAATGGGAACTCCACGTACCGTTCATCTTTCTATTTCGCGTGTAAAAAAAGATCCGACCAAAAGTTCGGAACTTAAAATTGGAACTTCGTTTTGGAACTTCACCCCCGAACCCTACTTCTTCTTCTTCTTCTCTTTTCTTCGTTCCCATCTGCCCAACTTCGGCCGCTGAGCACCCCTCTCTTCGCAGCACGCCACTATCTGTGGCAGACCACTCTCTTCACACGTTGCCCTCGGTAGGGTTTACTCGGCTGTTCTTGAGCTCTGATTCTTGCTATTGATTTTGAGGTATGCTAGTGACTGTTATTCTCTCTGTGTTATTGACCTCTGTGTTTGTTCTTGAGCTCTTGAAGCAAAGAGCTCTTATTCTCTCTGTGTTATTGATCTTGAGGTATGCTATTGACTCTGATTTTCTTCATCGTTCTCTCTCTATCTCTTATTTGAGCTCTCATCCTTCCTATCGAGCTCTGATATGTGTTCTTCATCTTTCTCGTGGTATTTTCCCCCGACTGCCCTAACCACAACGAATAGTATTGATGTGTTTTATTTAATAAAATCAAAGTGAATAGCATACCTTTTATTTCTGATTTTACAGATTTTTCGCAACAGTGCGATCAGAGCTCAGTTACAAAAAAAATAGAGCTCATTTACAAACTGATTATTCGAACAGTTTGTAATAAAATATGAGTCTTTTTTTTTTGTGTGTATTTGGCGATTTTGCAGATTTTTCGCAACAGTCCAATAGATCAGAGCTCAGTTACAAAAAAAATAGAGCTCAGTTACAAAATAATCAGAGCTTAGAGGAAGGTCACTTCTATTCTCTGTCCTTTTTGCCCATAAAGGTACTCTCTTTCTCTCGCTAGAAATAATCTCTATGATGCTGGGGACTTTAGCTCTAAGTGCAGTACCATTTATCACTTGAGTAGGGCTAAGAGTTGGTTATCCAATATGATCTTATAAAATATCGATAAAATTTAAATTTAAATGGGCTTGAAACCAATACAGATTGTTGATTTTTTTTTTCTTTTTTAATTTGTGATAAGTGAATATGTTTTTTGCTCTGTGCTTCTTTCTTTGTACATGTAGCATTTGGGTATCTGTTTCATCTAATTTTCTGCACATTTTTGTGAAATTAATATATATATTGTAGAATATTTATGTGCTGTCATCTCAGTTGGCTTGAGGCTTTCTGATTGTTGCTTTTTAAGGGTTTCTCTCGTTAAGCTGTCTTTTAAATTGCTGGGCAGGAAAGGGGTAAAATCTAGGTAATAAATTTTGCTATTTTGTAATCTTATGTATATCATACTTACCAATTATTTATCGTATTTTTCCTTCTCTATTGATTGCGGTGTTTACATTATCACTGATTTATTCAACCAAAAACATCATTAAAGAACTTTCTACATTATTCTATTCAAATTGTTTCAGTCTGCTTTGTTGTCTTTTTTCTTTTTTGTTTCCCCCCTTTGTTCTTGGGAAAAAGTTGATATCCCCCACTATTTCCAAACTCACTGAATTGCGTGGATTTAATACCTTTGGTGTAATGGATGATAGAGTAAATTCCCCTAAAAAATTACTGAAAAGTATTTAAACAAACATTATTCATGATGCCATTACAAGAGTTAGTAGAGCATTGCTGTCTTGGAATGCGAGTGTCCTTGAACAGTTCACTTTTGGAATCATTTACATCATTTGTGGGCATAGAGGGTTCAGAGTTTAGGATCTGAGGTGGATGCATTTTAATCTCTCCATTGTGAAAGAGAATGGAGGTTCTAGTGTAGGATAAATGGGGAGGTTCTAGTGTAGGATAAATGGTCGCCAAAGTTTGTACATTTCAACTTCTAACTAATGATTCTGGCCTTTTCTAACTACTGTTACGTCTACTTTTTAAGTATATTTATGTTTCTCTAATATTTCTTCAAGGAATTGATGAAAAAACTGAATAAAGAATAAACAAGCAGCCATTTGGCTTCAAACCAGTGTACAACAAAAGAGCATAAAACAACATGCAGAATTGTAATGCACCTCTCTTGACGTTAAGAGGAGAATAGGCAAAAAGTTGGCAAGCATGTATTTTTTGTGGAAATCATGGGAGTTTCTTGAAACCATTGAGGATTTTTCCATATAGTGTTAGTGTTATACATGATGGTATGACCTGTGGAATGTCTTTGGGAGTCGGAGTAGGGTTAGATTAGAGAGATATTTTCCATTAAGAATCATCTAGGAGTTATCATTGAAGCCTTGTCTTGAGATCAGTACATTGAACAATTATCTATTTGGAACCTTGGATTGTCCTCATTAAAACTTGAGAGAAGGTGGCACATTTGATGAATTAGCTTCTCTTTAGGGAGAAATAACCTTTTTTTTTCTTTTCTTTTTTGTTAGTTGTTACTATGTTGATTGGAGGACTTATACATTCATCAAGATCTACTGGAAGGTCTTTACAAACGAAGACTTGTGCTTAAATAAGGAAAGAAACATCATCATCAAAGCCTTTTCCCCACTAATTGGGGTCGGGTACATGAACCCTGATCCGCCATTCTGTTCTATTAAGGGTCATACCCTCAATGAGACCATAAGTCCCAATATATTTTTTCACTACTTCCAACCAATGCATTTCGGGCCTACCCCTTGCTCTCTTTGAGCCTACCACTTGAACTAACTCCCATCTCCTAACAAGTGTTGTATTGTGTCTGTACCATACATGGCCAGCCCACCTAAATCTACTTTCTCTTATCTTATCGCCTATTGGTACTATACCTAAATTCTCTCGAATGTATTCATTTCGAATTCTATATTGTCTTGTCACTCATCCATCTCAACAGCCTCAACTCAGCTACACTCATTCTACAGGTATGTTGTTTTTTAACTACCCAACATTCCACCCCATAAAGTAAAGTTGTTCTCATAGTTGTCCTATAAAATTTGCCCTTCAGCTTCTTTAGTATGTGGCGAAAAGTGGATTGAACTAGCAAAGGGTAAGGATGGAACATGAATCTCAAGTGAGGTCATGGCTAACAATCCACACGGAACTCAGATCCACTTCATCCTTTGCAAGCCTTATCTGCCAAGCTATTGGCCTCTCCAAAGTCATGCTGAAAGACGCATCTAGCAGTGTTGTCCAACAAGTACATAGGTGTCTAGAGATTCAACCTGAAAGGTCGACATGGTTGGTCATGTCCTTACAATCATTTATGTAATTAAATTATATTACTAGTATGTATAATATAATATTCTATATTTTTTCACATATGAAGTGGTTGGGGAGGTGATAGAGCTGACAGTTCTTGCCCAAAACTGTCTGAGTTCTTCCAACAATATCGCAAGCACTTTAATTTTTTGATATACTTCAATGTCGTCAGGTGTTGACATGCGACACTAGCCATAAATTGGAATGTCAAGGTAGTAGTGGCATCTAGTGGTATCACATAACCAAATTCTCTTTTAAATGTTTGCTAGCAAGGTGAGGGAGCCCCCTCTTGAAGCGCAATGATAATTTTGGGAGTCTCCCTCAACAATTAATGGTGCAGACAATGATGTCAAAAAGAGCCTCAACCCTGTAAATAAACCAGTTGCCTCAGCTGCTGTGGCATAGTGAATCCAATAGGCCAAAAAGGATAGCTCGACGCACCAATATGCTCTCCGAGACGCCGTCCATATCGTAAGATTTTTTTTGGAATCCGTTAACTTTGTATTAAGAGAAGAGATTACAATATACAAAAACTCTGTCACCTATGTGCATTGATTCTAAAAATGAGAAAAGAAAAACCAGAAAAGATACAAGTGTAGCCATTACAAAATCTTTAGAGAAACAAAAACCAAAAAGTTCCAGTAAGCAAAGTTAGGGTGCAGGCAGCAGAGCTCCTTGTTTAGCTAGAGTGTCGGCCACTTGATTGGCCTCCCTCCATGTATATATCCATGAAACTTGAATAGACCTACAAATGTTGAAAATCTCGTCAAAGATGGACCGGAGTCTCCAAGGCAGGGGGGTCTCATTGGAAGCCCAAGCAATGACATTTTGGAAATCCCCTTCTACGTCAAGGACGGAGCTCCAAACAGGGTTGAAATTTCTAAGGCCTTCCAAAAGGTTATGGGCTTCTGCCATAGTAGCATCTTCTATTCTGATGTGGGAAGTTTATTGGAAGAGCGATATACCCAAGTTATTTATTTAGATTCCCCCAATACCTCCCGGACCCGGGTTGCCAAGGGAACAATCGTCAAAGTTAAGTTTGGTTTGGCCTAGTACAGGAGGTCTCCAAAGAGGAACGACAGACCTGTCTCGGACAGGGGAAGAGAATAGTGTGCCAATTTCAGGGGACGTCGGATGTAGAGAAGGAGTTGAAGAGTTTGCCGTTGGTAGCCCAGAAAATGACCAGCGATTTGATAGACTCCAACACTTGAAAAGGTTGACGATACTGCCCCTTGAAGATCCTATTGTTTCTTTCTTTATAGATAGACCACTAGGTGGCTATATTGAGGCCTTCCATAGCAGTGCGCCAGATTTGGGCCACGGGAGATGAGAAGCTAGTTGGACAAGAGAGGGTACCGAAGGTGGAGTCACCCACCACCATCCAAAGAGCTGGAGCAACTGCTCCCAAAGGATACTCGCAAAGGGGCAGTGAATAAACAGATGGGGGTTGTTTTCTTCATTCGCTGCACACATGATGCGCCCCATATCGTAAGAGTTGGGTTACCTTTTGAGGTCTGATCGAAATTGAGCTCCATCTTTTTCTCATCAATCAAACACAGGGGAACACATGTTGGGAAATGCCACGATATTTTGCGTGGTCATTTATAAGGGCTCTACCGAAAGTGGCTAGCAAACCAAATGCTGTAGCTCTCAGAGGCCTGGTATATAGATCTAATATATCTCAGCGAATGAGGCTCACAGACTGATCTCTGCTATAATATGTGCGAGAGGATTCACAGAAAGCCCCTATCTATGTGTCCTAAACACCCAGTCAGGCTTGGTAGCTATGCAAACAAGGTTTGACATTCCTAGTCCCTGTGTCCTTTGAAATTAGGATGTAACACTATCCTTTGACCACTCCATTCATCCTGAAAAAGGGCTTGCTAAACTCACAACCTTAGGAAACCATAGTTGCTAAGCTCACAACCTTAGGAAACCCTAGTTGCTAAACCTTATGATACCCTAGTTACTAAACCATAGTTGCCAAACTCACAACCCTAGGGAACCATAGTTGCTAAACTCACAACCTTAGGAACCATAGTTGCTAAACTCACAACCTTAGGAAACCTTAGGAAACCATAGTTGCTAAACTCACATCCTGAAAAGGGGCTTGCTAAACTCACATCCTGAAAAAGGGCTTGCTAAACTCACAACCTTAGGAAACCATAGTTGCTAAACTCACAACCTTAGGAAACCATAGTTAGTATTTCAAAGAATATGAGGGTCCGCTGCGAATCTATGTGCTCCGCGAGAATCTCACTATCTTAGCCTACCTGGAACGGACCCCAAGTAATCTCTCTCCACCCCCAGCGAACTCGACCTACTTGACACCCTTACTCTCCACCAAATCCTCTCTCTTCCATATGCCCCACTTCATGGAGGCCACCAATGCCGCTTGCTTAGAAGGGCATGATTTTTAGTTTGCAGCCTTCTAGTTCCAAGACCTCCAAGTCTCCAACCAGCCCTGAAATTACAGACACACACGCCCACTTAACTAAACTGAACTCTTTCATCTCAGTGTTCCCTTACCATAACAAATCCCTAACTTGTTGGCAACAACACGGCATTTGATAGAGAGACATAGAATTACTCTTCTAAAGTTTGTTGTTAGTATTTCAAAGAATATGAGGGACTTTAATGAGAGGCAGTTAGCTAACAAATATCCGTCATGTCTTCTAGGTTTTTATTCCATTCACAAAATGCTAAGGAAAAAAATTTGATGGTGATTGTTAGTAATTTGAGATCAAGGCCACCTCTAAGTTCTTTATTGTGCAGGTCATATTGGAAATATGATGCCACCTCTATGTCTCTTTAGGTTGAATATGCAGTTCATCATCATCATTGTCCGAGCATTATCCCAACTATTTGGGGTTGGCTACACAAATCCTGTGCTGCTATTTGTTGGATCAAGATTGTAAATGCTATATAGATGCTTACAACAAGAACCTTATTCAAAATGAGATTCCAAAAATTTTTCAGCCACAAGGAACCCATCCAAGATACACTAATCCTTCATAAAACTCCAAGAGAGACCTTTGTATGATGTTTTTTTTGGGTAGAGACTGTTGTATGATTTCCCTATTCCTCACTAATAGAATCATGGCAATGAACTAGTTACTTGCATGGACTATCCACGAAGCAAATCAGCGTAAATTCCTAATATGAACCGCATAGTCAACCAACTCCACCATTGCCGGTCCCAAGCCTGGACGAGAAAGGAGGAGGGTTGTGTAGGTTGGCATCTACAAGAGCACATGTACATGTTTATGTGCATATGTTGTTGTTCAGGCATGTCTATGTGTGTTTGTGTGTGCTCGTGGACACAATTAGATGTATATAGCCAGAAAACCTCTTTGAAAGAGATATTCATTATACTTGGATGCTGTATATGAATGTTCAATTGTCAGTTTTATTTGACTTGTTTATATATGTCAATATATAATTACTTGGATGCTGTATATGAATGTTCAATTGTCAGTTTTATTTGACTTGTTTACATATGTCAATGTATAATTAGTTTATGTATCATCTTTTACTTTAAACCTTACGAACACCAATTTCAATTTAACATGAATATATTTATGAGATTCATTGTTGTGTAATGTCTTGTGAACTGGATGTTTACTTACTTTAAGAGTGATAAAGAGTCCTTTTAATTAGTCTAGGTTTATAAGTTGTGAACAACACAACTTCATACACAGCCCACTCTATGGGGCATTTGGTGCGGGGTCGATAGCCACAGAATGTTGTGCCACTTGCATATAAAAAATGGATATTTTTGGGGATAAATCAGAACTACAAAAAGCTTTTCCACCCTTATCCCAAGTAGAATGGTTTGGTTTCGTGCATCGAGTTGGTGATACATTTAGGAATATCTGTTCATAGTGGAGATTTGACGCTTGATTTCTGAAATGCCAAGATATGGATACAGATACTGATGTGGATACGGGGGTGAGAACATGACTTTGCATGTCCCAAAATGCAGGACATGAATAGAGATACAAGCATTTATTTGGCATTTTGCTAAATATATAGGACCTAACAATCTATCATGTATTTTTATTTATATTAATGTTTATGTTCATATTATATGTCAAAGATATCATATATTATTACACGTATCCTAGGATTATCATTTTTGGTACTGGTGTTGTATTATGTGCACATTAAGCATGCAGAATTATCTAGGTATCTTAGCTTGAACTAATGTTTTAAAGTTTAACCTTGGGTCGGGACTTGCTAGGGTTCCAAGCAGTATCAAAGTGAATAGACTCAGCTGAGTTTGGATTGGCCATTTCTGTGGTTAAAAACCGACCTAAAAGACCTGAAAATGGCTGGGCTCAGAGAGTCTCATTTACGCAAGGTGACTTGGGCAATTCCTGAGTCAAACTCTCAAAGTTTCTATACACTGGCTTCAATTGCAAAGCTTGAAATAATATGTGCTTGAATCTAGTCTTTTTTATTTTTGTTTTTTGATGAAGTCAACTTGTTGAATCTAGTCTTTTTTGTTGTTGCTTTTTCCAAATAGATGGAATTCTCATGTCACGATGTTGTCCTGAGCACAGCAGCATTTGAGAAAAGCATGTGTCATTGATATGCTGTTGCATTGAATTCACTAATTATGTTAATTGATGGATTGATCAAAAAAAAAAATGTTAATTCATGGAATTCTTTTCAAATACATGCATAGATCTGTGTATCCCATAGAATTCATTAGTTATTTTAATCAATGGACCCTCTGATTGTTATGTTTACCAGTTGTTTTTATCTTGTTTCACTCCTCACCTTGAATTTTCTTGTTTCTCACACCATTGAGTTGTAGGAGCCATGAAGGTGAGGTCCTCAGTTAAGAAGCTATGTGAATTTTGTAGGATTATCCGTCGCCGAGGGATAGTTCGTGTACTGTGCACTGCTAATCCCAAGCATAAGCAAAGGCAAGGGATGTCTACCTTTGCTTATGAAGGTCCTCTGCCTCCCCTGTATGTATTTTTTTGCTTCACTGTTTTTTTTTTTATATTTTTTCAATTCGTAACTGTTCCATTAAGTTGATTTGGCTTCTGAATCTTTTGTTTCCATTAGCATATAAGTACTTAGAATTCTCTTCTTTACGCAAAAATAATTAATTCATGAATGGTTGTCTTCATACATCGTTAGTACAAGCATGCTTTTCGACATTCTCTAGAAAGGATTACTAAGTGGTTCTTGGTGGAGGGCGTACGCATAACATGCTTTGCAGATGTCCAGCTCATCAATGTGATAATGAAGGGATGTTAATTTGAAGAGAGAGCATGACACTTTTGAATTAGTTAATGTTTTTCATTTTGTCTAGGTAACTATTTGTGTAAAGCTGCGGCAATCAAACCCTTAAAATAAGGAGAACCTTGTTCAGTGAATGTCATAAAATCCCTTTGACCAGGTTTTATTCAGGTTTTATTCAGAAACCCTTTGATCAACATATTTTTGTCACGTCAAAGGCTTCGCCATGATCTGCTTTTCTTGACTGGTCATCCATCATGATTGACCCAAGTTGCTGAGTCTGAAACTCATTGCTTCAGGTTGCTCTTTAGCTCAGGAATTGATGAAAGTTAACTTTGTTCTCTTTATTTCTCAATTTCTGAACTATAAGTGCATCAGAGCCAGGACCCTCTTTAGTTTTACGTTGCAACTTCTCTTCTTGCGTCTGTCTGTGAGAGTGCAAGTCCTAAAGTTTCATCGACAGCAAAAAGTTGCAAGGAAGATTTTGAGATTACATCTACAGCATCCAATCCCTTCATGTTGTGTTGATTATGTTGGAATTATCAACAACTCCATATTTGTGGAGCCTCCTTGATCAATTATGACATTTTCTTGATTTTCCATGGCCTTAGAATGCCTGTTTCTTATATTATCGACATATCGGTTTTGCAGTATATTGTCCAAGCCCCATTCTTCTCATGTTTTTTCTCAAATATCTCCACTGCTTGCACATTTGTTGTTAAATACATTCGCATCCCTCTAACCCTGTGTGCTGTATCTCTCTCACCATGTTTACTGCAGCTAACCTTATTGGGCACAGTTCATGGAGCTGAAAGCTGTATTGGAGCTCTGGTTCCCAATAAACAAAAAATTACTTGATAGCTTCCCACTAAATTTGATGTTCTTCTACGATCCTCTGCCTATCTGACTACCTAAATAGAAACTCTTGAAAGCGTTCTAATTAAAGCCTACCTTAAGTCTGCTAAAATTCACAGATTTGGGATTTTTAAATATTTTTGGAACTTATGGGCATGAGTGCTTGAACAGGTAATGAGCATTTTAAAGTCAATATAAGAACTGTAAATTGTTACTTTTCGATCATTCTACCTCCCATTTTACTTGTCCTTTACATATCCACATTTTTACAGATCATCTTTTACTAGTTTATCTTCGATTCATTTTGAAGCCGCAGTGGGCAGGGCTGGGGATTGTGAGGAAATTATCATTAATATATAGAGAAATTTTCTAGCTTATAAGACATGTCTAGCTTGTGGGTCGCTGGGTATGAGAGATGGTGCGCAGAAGTTGGGACCACGGATCTCTGAAGCTGTTTACCTAGTGACTAAGCATATGGTAATTGGATTGGGTTTGGGTTTGACTCATAATTGTGGGAACCTTGGGGTAAGGCTGTGGTTCCACCTTCGGAACTCGATCCTGCTGTTCCTCCAGGGGATCTAGCTGGATTTAGAGAAATAGGGATCTCGCTCAATAAGATGGGATCTCGGTGTGCATGCTTGAAGCATCCCTCCAAGGAGAGGAGCTATCCTACTAATTGAACTACTGCTCCTCTCCTTAATATTATAGATTATTTGATTGTCTTTAGAATATGTTAAACTGTGGTACATATCACTTCATGTTATGCTAGAATTATGGTACTACAATTTAATATCATAGTAAGCCTGTAATATTATTAAACTGTATTATTATAGTAAATTGGAATACTATAACTGTGGCATTAGCAATAAGCTAAGGTGTATGATAATGGATCATTCAGGCATTGGCTTGATCCTAATTTTATTATATACTATTAACTGATATTGTTTTATGTATAGTTGAGCTTAGATCCTTAAACCCAGGGAGCTTCCACCCTATGGGGATTCAACGTTCCCTGAATTGATCCCGCTCTTGAACCAGCTCCGCCTCCAACAACTTTGGTTTGACTTCTAGGCACCCTTGAAGCCTATGCCTACATACCCAAAACCCATTGTTCTCTTCTTTGCCTTTGGAGGTTGTTTGATTTTGATTAGAAGGATGTTGCTAAAGCACTTGGGATCAAGCTTTCAAGAAACGGTTTAAATTTATAGAAGACTTTGCTAGGTCAGTGAGTAGATGTTTGGGAGCTCTCTTGTTGATAGTTGCACGGTCTGGTTTTGATCTGGCCCCCATATTTCAGTGGTCCTCCTTTTTATTTAGGTTTAGGGAATTCTTAAACAAGATGAAACGTATAGGTTCCGGGGGTTAGGGCGGTGTCCACACTTGACTCTTTTTGTAGTCAAGTCATTTGCCACTGAGATCCACCAGATCTAGGGCCACTAGGGGTACACTTTGACAACAAAGGATATAACTATTTTCCCAAGCATTCGGCTCTTCTAATAATTTCATAAGATCATCACTGGGCTTTGTTTCTAGTTCGCAAGGTCAGCCTCAGAGAAACAAGTGTTCAATGGCATCTCAAAAGTGCAACACCAAGATTCTTTTTTCATTTCCTTGATTTTCAATGGTGTAATTGAAGTAACTTGGGGGCACATCTGAAATACTTGTACCTCAGTGTCTTGACTTTCACTGCCCTTGTACATAAGGTACTTATCATTTGTGCAAGTTGATGGCAAAATTTGGAGTTTAAGAGTCTTGAATGCAGCTATCAAATTTTTTAGTATGAGGAGTACCATAGCCAGGCCCATCAAAAACGGAAAAACTAAAAAAGTCTTATAGCCGATCATCTCAAGGTTTGAATAATCATATGCATGGTTATTTGTGAGCTATCTATTGCTCAGGATTTATAATTTGATTCTGGAAAACAGCATTCAAGAGCAAATATTGCTCTCAGACCAAGAAACTATGTCTCCCATGTGGGCCCAGTATACCATGTTGAAATTCTTAAGTGATTTACGTAAAGCATCAGAATGCCTCGTAACAGTTCCTAAATTCCGTTTCAGGTACATAGTTATAAGACAATGATCTGATACGAACAAGTTACAAGTGAAATAGACAAGAGCGAGTAGAGTAGTTAGTGACTTCCTTCGCTTCCCTTTGAATTTGATATAAATACTTCCTTGGACTTTAAGCCAATGTTCTCCCAATGCAAATTCTTACCACTTCCAACGCAAATTCTTTTATGTTCTCTCAACACAAATTCTGACCACTTTGGCACTATTCTAATTTATTACACTTCTCTATGCACTCCGACACTTCCAGACATGAGGGGCCATTTAAAAGTTTACAGAGCACAAGGCTGGGGTCTGAACCCAGGATGTCTTGTGCCATGTTCATGCGGTCTGCCCCTGCATCATCCACATTTAAGTATAATAAGTATGAACTCTTTATTATATGTACATTAAAAATGTACTACTTTATCATGCGGACATGTCTTCCTGTGTCTTGATTTTAGGCCACTGCTTCTGACACTTAGACACATTGAGTTTGGATACCCATGTCAGCGTCTAGGTGACATAGCAGAAGAAAGAAGATATAATACTTGTATATTTGGCTTCTTGCAGCATCTCTGAGAGTGCTAGTTCACAGCAAAATTTATCATCCAATGAAGGCTCCAAGGTAGGTCTGGCCTCCCTTCTGTCCAAAGAGGATGATTAAGTGTTGTCTTCTTGGTGGCTTTGACAGCTAAAAAGTAAAAAGGTAGTTGGGTACTGAATGAGAGGATTGCAGAAGACTGTTTAATTGATGAGGAAGACTGTTAAGTTTTGATTCCTAGCAAAAATATTTCCTTCCTAATGATCCATGGTTCTATGAGGGATCTACTTGTATATTTTTTTTCCCTATAACATCTAATCATTTTCCGAAAGTTTATTGTATTCCTGCTTGTACTGATGCATAGCCAAACACTTGGGAAAGATTTCATTTTTTGGTTTCTTTTGGGTATTGCATAAGCAGCCTGGTCCTTGTCTACATTTATAAAAAGGGTAAAAATACATAAATTTCCGTTTGATCGGGGTCTATGCCCCCTCTGTCTCTCTCTTTGTCGGAAGAAAATCCTAATGACTAGGGAATCCAGTATAAGTTGATAAAGAAGAGACAAAAACTAGTACGCAAGTCTTTTCTTTTGATTAAATAAAGAAAGAAACCTGCTCTTACCTAAGATACATGTTGGTTCAATTTATCATTCAAGATATTTATTGGTTCAATTTATCATTCTTTTGTCATTTTCAGTGTTAAAAATTAGTTTAAAAATATATTTCAAAAATAAATCATTAAGGGTAGCCGTATTTCTACATATGAGTCCAGGGACTCATAGCAACCGTGTCCTTAAAAGTATAACTAGCCACCACTGTTCTCTCTCTAGCTATTGTCTGGATATTTTAGGAGTACTGAATAATAACCCTGATCCAGTGCATCGTGGTATACTTCCCTAAAGAATAATTCTAAATAAAAGCTGGATAGTGATATATTTTTACCTCAATAAATCTTAAGAAAAGTTTCCTGCATGATTTTGTTGCAAGGGATTGTATACAATGAGGCTGTTACCTTTTATGATGATAGACACCCTACGATGTATACTTAAAGTTGAACAATTAGGGTTTTTCATTTATTTACATGAAACTTAAGAGGATAATTTTCTTAAAATTTGAGGGAACTACATTTGTTCTGACAGTTAGGGGTGATTGTAATTTTTTATGTAAAACACAAACAATATTATACTTTTTGTGATGAAAATATCTGACGTCCATATCACTCCTTTGACAATTAGCAATTATTGTTTCTCCCAACTATTCGATTTGAATTTAATCAAGTTTTGACTAAAGATTTGTTTAATCTTATTCTATATAATTTTGTTTGGTGGTCCTTTTTCACTTAAAACCACAAAATCACTAAAGCTTGCCCATAACTTGTGATTTTGCATCGTACACATGTTTCTAATCTTTACCAATCTTATACCCTGCGTTTTAAAACTCGACCGAGGCAACTCGGACTTGGCCGAGTAACTCGGCTTCACCATATAAACAAGGTGAGTTTTGGGCAAGTCAACTGTACATCATATGTTTTTTAGTTTATGTATATTAATACCTCAATTCTAAGTCATATGTATGATGGTGTTTTTGTTATTTTTTTGATATTTTTGTTAGTACTACCATCTAAAGTTCAAACATATCAGGTTTGATTCCCCAGGGCAGCCACTTTTTGAAAAAATGCCCTAGTTCTTCTCTTTGGAATTTAAAAAAAAAAATTAGACAGGTGGCATATTTTCACGGAAAGCAATAACCAACGATGATAAAAATGTAAGAGGTATAATATATATTAGTGAATTTATCTTCTTTTTCTTAAAAAAATGAACAGATTTTAAGCGATTTATTTGGACTCGCCTGAGTAATTGCCTTGGCCGGGGCCTAGTACTTTGGCCAAGTCGATTTTTTGAACATTACTTATACCTTATCATGCATTTGCACATTTAATCAGGATATCATTGATACAATTAGAAAGTAAAAAAAAAATAATCCGCACATTTAACCAGGACATCATTGATACAATTAGAAAATAAAATAAAAACAATCCTTGACAGATTAAATATCCTTTGGTGGAATTTTTTTTCATGTGGGTGGGATAAGGGCCATGAATATTTCTAAAAGGCTTATGCTCCTGCATGAGCATAATATACATACTCTCTTGAGTAAAACCGGGGCTAAAAAACTCATTCTCATGTTACCATCTAGAGAACCAATTCACAAAATGAATGAATGAATGCCTGAAAAAAAAAAAGAATGAATAAATAAATAAATAAAAATTCATGAAAATTCTTATCACTTTATATTTGTTGTCTATATCATCATCATTATAAGAAGCCGATCTCAACTATTTGGAAGTGGTTATCGAATATATATATATATATATATAATCATTTTAATTTTGTATTTTGCGCGTGGCCCACTTTTCATTTTAACTTACAAAAGCATCACTTTTCAAAAGAAAGTTATTGGGTGCGAGGAGTTTGGCACCGATCCTATTTAAATATTTGGCACCTTTCATTTTCAAGTTTCAACCATTTCATTGTCATGTTGGATTTTTCAGCATTTAGTCCTCTACACAAGGAGAGCAATTTTCAGATTACAATATTAAAAAAAATTCACAAAAACTGTATATCAATTTTAAATGGAGAATAGAATAAAGCTATTCTATTTCCTTCAAAATTTTTGTATGTTATAATTATGTATTTTTTGTACATCTTTTAATCATCATTTTAGTTTAATATCACTCGCGCCTTACACACACCCACTCCTATATATTTATGTGTGTGTGTTTTTATTTTGAGAATGCATGGCGAAAAATTAGAAGAAAATAAAATAAAAAGTATCTAAGGATAATATATTTTCTTTAGTATATTGGGAGTTATTTTTCTTTTGTTTTTATCGAAATAGGAATTTTCTTTTTGCTGGCTAGCAAATGACTGAAAGTAGTGTAGGAAAAACACGACGGGGAAAATACCATAATATTACTATGGTCTTGGTAGCAACTTTGCAAGACATCATCTATGTTCCAAAATCCAAATCAAGTCCATGCTGACCACTAGAGGAAAAAAAAAAAATGAAAGAAAGAAAAAAAAAAACCCGTTAATTCCCCCCGCCCTAAAAAAAAAGAGATAAAAATAAAGGAATATCAACATATTCAAGTTAAAAACCCCAAAATAATCTAAATTCTCTCTTAGTTATACTGTAATTAAATGGACTATGGTACTCCATAGCTACATCCATTGTCTGTTCTCATTAGTAGAGGGCAAGATATTAACTGGATCAAGTGGAGTAGTCCCCATTACCATAGTCTAATGGAGTACTGTATATTTCACATTAAATAGGTAGGGAGAGGGGAGGGATTTGACTGTTTAGGTTGGTGTACTAGTTCCTATGGTCCATAATTTGGATACTCACTTGTTCATTATCTTTTGAGCTTAGAATCAATTAGTAAGAAAAATACTTGGGCTTGGACTCACCCGAGTCACTGGTAGATTGCAGGGTCCTGCATCAGGATGACTAACTGGTAGATTGCAGGGTCCTGCATCAGGATGACTAACTGCAAAAGTTAGGCAAGTCTAATGTGAGCTGGAAGAGTCTGTATTTTTTATTTGAGACTCGAGTGACAAGGGTTTGGTTTCTATACTTCCTCCACTGTATAGAAGATATATACTTTTCCCCTCTCTAGCTGTATAATTTTAGATCAAGTGAGCTACTAACCATTTGATTTAGAACTGATGCTTCAGAGTATTTTATTTTTAATTTTTTTTATAGAAATTATATGAACACGTGCCATCATCTCAATGGGGTGCATTTAAAAATTTATTAAAAAAGTATTTTCGATAAAATATAATAACCAAAATACTCCTAAGACTTTCAAAGGAATTTTGGTCATTTTATTGTATTGAAAAAATATACAATTTTTTTTTACAAGTGCGAGTTGAAGAGAGGAGTGGAAGCCCAAATTTTGGTGTCAAAATATCTTGTAGAAAAAAATTAAAATACAATAGTGTAATAGTGTAGAGGCATGACATTGTGATTGGGGGTATAAAAAGCTTTTTCTAATAACAATAGTTTATATATGTTAGAAAAAAAGTACTATAGGGTGTCAACCTTGTACTATAAAACTAAAATTCGTCTAAAAATCCATCGAAAAAAGTTGTTATGATGCAAACAAACCCTCCAAATGATCATTTCAACCTTGGTATGCACAAATATAGAAAAAAAAAGAAAAAAAAGAGTCAAAGTAGATGGTCTAACTCAGCATAATTTGCTTTTGACAGGGGCTCTGGCTGCAACGAGTCAAACTTTAAACCTTTCTCACAGAGAACAAAATGTCAGAGCGAATTATGGGAATGAGGTTGACAATTTCACGTGGTTTTGGGTGCTTTTAATAAGCTTAAAAATAATATATATGGGAATGTTAAAGAAATAATAAATAAATTCATTTTCCCATTAGAGGAGCCAGGCCCTGAGGAGGTTTTCCGGTAATTAAAAAAATTAGTTTAGGTGGAAAAGGACCAAGAGAAGGAACAAATGTCAGCATGAAGCCAAAATATAATACACTAATGAGGGAGTATATTATTCAGCTACTCCCTTGAGCAAAACTCGTGATTATTTTTGAGATCCCAAAATTTTGGGATGTAATCTCTAGAGCCAAGCCACCATCCTTAAAGAAAAGAAAAAAATGTAATATAAAAATAAAACCGTAATTTCTATGTATCTAAAAAACAGGTATGGTTTCTATAAGGTTGCAACCTTAAACAATCTAATTAAGGTGTACTTCTAAATTTTATCATAACATGTAATTTTGGTGTAAGAAATTATTACGACTATCTGAAAATCTATTTTCATATTTAAATATAAAATTATAAGCTTAAAAAATAGTTAAAATCAAGTAGATCTACAAACATATGAAAATCTTGAAAGTGGATAGTCTAGATAATGTGTTGTAAGATGCAGCATTTCCAGGACTCAAAATCTTTTTTTTGTTATATTCATACATCTCTATGTCGAGATGATCAACTTGAGGGTTTTTCAACATTAAAGTAATCTTCTCTGATGGATTTTTGAGATGCAT